AATTTGCAGCATTTTCAAGGCCTGATACCTAACACACCTGCTGTCTCCTTAAGTGTATTTTAACTGGCAGCATGGGTGAGGGATGGTGGGAAGAGGGACAGAAGTAGAGCTGCCATTGTCTGCTTCCTGTGAATGTTTTTTTTACAGTTTTCCTGTACCAAGGACACTAGTTTGGCTGTAAGGAGGTTCTCTGAAGACTAGTAGTTAATTCCCACCCCCCCCTTTTTTTTTTTTTAATCGAATTTAATATTATTTCTTAAATTTGCTGTGTGGGAAGAAGTTGAAACATTTTGGTTTGATGGAAGTTGGAAAGTTGTCACATAGAATAGTGGGGTAAAAGTGCTCATACTCAAGAACTTTATGTTCACCATCAACCCTGCATCAGTCTGGCTCCGTGTTGGTCCATGAAGAGGCTGTACAGAAGAGCACAGCAGGGTGATGGTCTCCCTTGGATCCAGTGGGTTTCTTTCCAGTGAATGCCTTCTAGTGAGATGTGCTGCCTACTCCTTGTCTAGTAACATGGCTCCCCGAGTGACCTGATCCTTTCTTGAGATTCTTTAGGAGTCATCAGCCTCAACTCTGTGTGCACTCGTGGCAAAGCAGTGTGCTCAGGACCAACCTCCAGCTCTGAAGGTGCGTGTTACTCTGCAGAGCCCAGAGAAGAGCCAGGCTGTGGCCATGTTTCTTGTTTTGTCAGTTTGGCTTATAAAGCTGAGAATAAGGTGGATTCTCTGGTAATGAATTTGTGTGGTCTGACGAGGAAAATGGTTTGAGAAATGTTTGTTGTCCTAACCATTGGAGGGTTAGAAATTTTCTCCATAGCGTTATGGATTTGGAAGGGCAGTACCCTTGCTGTGTTTGGCAAGAGGGACAATGCTCTTTTATTCAAAAGCAGTTCAAAAGTACTGAGTGTTCGGTGTGCTTTAAGAATTTTGGTTGAATTTATTTATGCTGATTGTATCCCAGTCATTCAAAGAATGTGCTGGGTCTGGCTGGGGCAGCAGCTGTGGCATCAGTGTTTAGTAGACCCCAGAGACTGCAGAGTTAAACTCCCTTCACACATCAGGAGAAGCGCATCTGGTTCTGCTGTAGCTGGGTACTTCACACAAGGATGTAACAACTGGGGTGGTTATTTAAGAAAAGTGAAAGTGGGACAAGTAGTTTTAGAAGTGGTATCAGCTCTTCTGTGCCCTTCATATTACTGTGATAGTAGAAATAAATTTTTCTTTTTCCTTTCCTCTCTATTTGTAGGTGCTGCATCCCCTAGCAATGGCAGCAGTGCACGTTTAAATGCAAACCGTTTGTCAAAGCTTAGTGTGTGGGGATTTTAAAAGCATTCTGCACACCCATGTATCCAAATCTGTTCTGTAGGGCTAAACAGAAAATGGAAGCTTTTTGGTTCAGAATTTCCCATGGCACCTTTGTGTTGTGCTCCATGCCCCAAGGTGTCTCCAGGACCTGTTGAGCTGCACTGCCTGAGGTCTGAGGGGAAGTTAAGCGTATTTGAATTCCCATGTTTGTAAGGCATGTGTTGAAAACACGTTGCCAGTTTCAGTTAAAATTTAGCCAGGGATCAGGAGATGCTGTTACTCTTACTTATCTAACAGGTCAGAGATTGTAGTATCCTCGTGATATTTATCTTTTAACTTTTTCTTCTAGAATCAGATTTCTTAGCTATGGTTCAACATGGACAAGTGTTGTTCCATCCTGTGTATTTTACAGATCAGTCTCCTGGAACACGGACAAAGTCCTGAGGCATAAGAGAGCGTAGATCCCCAGCTGCCCTCCTTGGGCATATACAGTAACTATGAGCTTAGTCTGAAAGATTCTCTGGTGTTTGGAGAAGAAAATGTGGCGGAGCACTCTGGGCTCATATGCACAGTTTACGCTCTGATGCAATCATTCCAAATGATGTATCTTAGCACCATGTGTATTGAGGATTTGATACAAGCTCAGGTGAGAGGAAACCTCCAAAGCACCCTACTTTGCACTGTTTCCTGGGGATTGGCGCACAAGTTCAGCCCACAGATTTCTCCACATCCCAATTCTGCAGGACTGTGTCTTCTGCTTCAGTGCAGAAGCACATAGGTGTCCAGCTCAATTCTGAGTTTCTGCTTCTGAGTTTCTGCTTCTGAGGCACACTGCTGCGTGCTCAGTTTTGCAGTGTTGGACATCACTGCCTTGTTACCTTTCTGGAGCCAACGCACTCTACCTGTGCAAATTTATTATGTAAAATGTCTGAATATATGTTTATATACACTGCTCTGTGCCAGTTCAGTGTCTACTTTTTTTTTGTTTTTTTTTTGGGTAAATACATTGTTCCAATAATTACTACCAGGTAGCGAAGTAGGACATCACTCATGTTGATACAAGTTTAATGCGTTTGTACAAGTGGTCTCCGCTGTATCACACTGATGATGTATGTAGCCTAAGCGCCTGTCTCTGCTGGACTCTGCTTAATGCAAGATGGTCTGTTGCAGGCTCTTTTTTTCTGGTGTGTGTGGCAGCGACAAACGGCAGAAGGGATTTTATCTAGAAAATGTTGGTATTCGTATTTGTGTTTTAAAGTTTGACATGACCCCTGCATTTCCAGATGTGGACCTTGCAAAGCATATCCTTGCAAGAAACTCCACTGAGCAGTTGCTGTTGCAAACTGTAGAAATAAACTGTTTGATGTCATTCCATGTACTCAGGATTATGTTGCATTTCTTCAGAGCAAGACCAATGTACCTGGTCTCTTTGGACATCCATCTCTACTTTGTTGTAAAGTATCTTGCATTTTTACTGGCTACTGGGAGGTGAACTGAGTTTTCGACTGTGTGGGCTCAAACCGAAGGAATTGGTCATCCTTTCTGTCTTATGGAAACATTAAGAAATGGAGAATGAAGGGAGTAGAGTCTGCGGATTTGGAGACTGCTTCAACTTCACAATTCATCATCACCAGCTAATATTTTCATCTTTTGCATTAAATGAGTGGCTTTCGGCACATTACCGCAAGGGACGTCCAGATGGAACGAACAGAGTGCACCCAAGGAGAGCAGCTCCTTGTAGAACTCGTATAAAGAGCTTGACTGTGAATCATGGATGTGATGGAAGAGGGGATCGGCCTGTAGGCCTCGACTGGTTTTGCCATTTGTTTGAGGAGCTGACTTCTGAAAAGAACTACCTGGATGGATGTTCTTGCCTCTGGTTAGGACAGCTTCTCCATGTGGGGAAACGTCGGGAAGCCTTTCTGACATCGATTGTGGTGGCCCTCGACTGTCTTTGAGCTTAGTTCTCTTCTTTGTAAAGAGAGTCTGGATGGTGGTTGTCCCTTACTGCCCAGTATAGCTGATGTCTTTGCAGACACAAGTGCTCATAACAGATTGTCTCAAACATCTTGTGTGAAGTGGATTGTCTTCTCTGAGGAGCTGGGATACTTCTCTAGAATCCACTTGTGTTTATTTGGTCTCTCTGATGTTCTAGGTGGTTCTTTCATACCAGTGAAAGACAGATTCTGTGGGACCATTGGCCAAAGTCAATGAGAACATCCATAGAGAGCTTACAGAAAATAGCCTTGTGGCTCCTGGGAATCAATGGATAATGCCTCGTCCCACAGCCGATTTGGAGGAGGCCAGATTTTGAAATCTCACATTACTGTTAGTCTGCAGAGAGTGGGGACCTTTGACAGACCGACTACACTGACTACTACTGCCTACACTGACATGTAGGAGTCCTATGTCTTAGTTGAAAATGCAGATACATTCGCTCTATTTTGTCTTGTTGTGAGCTCTCTTTTGATCACAGAACTTATCAGATGCATCTCTCTGAAAAAGCAATCTTTGACTTGCAGTTAGGTAAGCCTTTGTCTCCCATCTGTCCTTGTCTGCCACAGGAAAAAAGAAGAAGAAGTTCTGGTAGGCACACTGTTTCAGAGTTGCAATGAGTTTCAGGTTAAGGCATGGTTTTCCACCCAACTCTTTCTATCCCCAATAGAAAAGAATTTTTGAAGAAGGAGTAGTAGGGCTTTTAGCTTTCCTAGACTAAGGATGAGATTTTATAACACTTGGAAGTTTAAATTGGAAAAATTGTTTGAAAAATTGTAATTGAAACTAAAAGGTTCCATGTGGCTGAAATGACAGTGCTCATTGTCTGGTGCTCTCAGCTGTTACCAACAAGGGGCTGGATAGAACTGAAGTATGATTTGCTGACCATTTGTAGATAGCTGCACACTCATTTGTGCAGGAACTTGAATGCTTGTTCTCTGTGTCCTCCACAGAATGTTTAGCAGGAGCCTGTCTTGTGTGAGCTACTTGAACCATTCTAGATACCAGCCCTTATATCAGACAGTGAGATGCCAGAAGCTGGAAAGTCAAGAGGCTCAAAGTCCCATAAGCTGATTTTTGTTCTTAGACAAATATTCTACCAAAGAGTGGTAATTAACCTTGGGTTGATCTGTCAGTTATGCACCTTTTAAAAAGAAAGGATGCGGCTGTTGAAGTTATGCAAACTTGTTCATTCAGAGATAAGATGAACGATGAGCCCACTTGGGAGTGACCACCAGTCCTAGATTGGTGGATCCAGGATGGAAAGTAGATTACTGTAATTATCATTATTTAGTGAGTTCTGCTTTAGAGATGACAAGAAAAACAGTGCAGTGATGGTTCATGTGCCTTGAGGCCATAGTGTGTCACTAGCATGTAGTAAATCAAATGAAATTATTTATATTTTTAATCATATTGATAAAACAACTGGAAGTCAACATTGCTTTAAGAAAACAGACTGCTTACAATTTAATGTGTTAAAATACAGGTTGAGTCATCCAGATACCTCCACTATCTCATTGCTCCTAGTGAGAGAAGATTGTGTAGAAATCTGGAAGAAAAGCCAATAGTTAACTAATTGTACGTGCTAACCACTCTGTAGGTAGTCTGACTAGTTGAGTATTGTTATACGTTATTGTGTCTTGTGATAACAGCACCATGTTTTCCTGTCATTTTCACAACTTTTCCTGGCTGAAGTGATACACAAGCAACACTGGGTAGTAATCACATTGTCCCGTTCAGTTTCAAAAGGAGAGAAGCGGACCTCATCCAGAAACTTTCCAGCAGGCTACAGTAAGCTTAACTATCTGTTAGCCATTGTCAAATATTTCCATACCTGCAAAAATGGCATCTATTAAAGTAATGGAAATTGTCTCAGAAATAGTGTCATTCCATGGCTGATTTTCATGTAATGTTAATGATATTACATCTCAGTATTGTTTTACAAAGCATTTAAGAAATGTGTTTGGATTCCTGTGATTCTCACTGATGTGCTCGTGTCTGTGTTTCCTGTTCTCTCACGGGCAGCTGACAGGCTCAGGAGATGTCAATTTTCAGAATAAGAGTCGGCATTCTGTGAAGGGTTGTTCTTTTTAGCTCAGGTTTTCTAGTATTCTGAAATGCTCAAATCCAGTGTAGGCTTTAAGAACCCGGCTGTGGAGCTGTTAGCAGATGTGTGGCAGTCTGATATCCCAATCAGAGTGGAGTTGAGATTAATGTGCTCGCTCAAATTCCCTGCAGGTTTCACCACGATGAATTGAGAGATTTCCTCTCTGTTAAGGGCAGGGTGAATCAAAATCTGCTGTGTCTCAGTAGTTTACTGAGGGAGCTTAATAGAAAATATTAACGTTCTACAAGGCTCAGCCAAACCCTGCTGTAGCAGATGTGAATATGTGTTGGGCTGAGTCTCAGTGGCTGTGAAAGAGGCTGAGGAATCTTCCAACTTTATTTGTATCTTTTGTCTTGAAGTTTTGCAGGAGCAGAGAAAGACAGAGCAACACTAAGTGCGAATTCTTCTACTTCATGAAAGTGAGCAAGTGTGCTTTTGGCTTTAAACTGGGTAGGTCAGAGATGCAAAACTAAATCATTTCCCTCCTTTGATACATTTTCTCTCTTTCTTCTTCACATCTAAGAATCTGTTATTGCATGGACTAAGCTTCAGGACAGCGTACTTGGGTCAAACTAGAACCAGTTTGTTCTGCCCCTCTTGAAAGGACCTCCATTGCCTATGAGTTTGCTTCTTGCAAAGATAGATCTCTTCTTGTGGAAGTCCAGAAGATTAATTAGAGCTCCAGTGTTTGCAATCTTCCTGAAAAAAACCTAAAACATTTCATTTAGAGACTTTCTCCAAAGAACTTTAAAATAGGGTTGCCGTTTTATCAATTCTAGCCTGTAGGGTCTGAAAGCTGCTTTATGAATGGCACAGATACTTAGACAGAAGGTGCACAAGCTCTGGGCTGTTTGAAAGATTTAGCAGAGATGTTTTATCTGAAGCCGTAAGCCTCGTTTTTACTGAAAACAGTGTGTAGCATGATTGAAATTCTGCACTCTGCACGAAAGCTTTTAGCTAGTTGACCTTGATGGCCACAAAAGAATCTTTAAGGTTGGAAAAGACCTCTAAAGATCATTTAGTCCAACGGTCCACCTGCCACCACTATTGCACACTAAACCACATCCCTAAGTACCACACATACCCTTAAGCAACTCTGGGGACAGTGACACCACTGCTTCCCTGAGCAGCCAGTTCTAAAGCATTAATGCTCTTTTTGAGAAGAAATTCTTTCTAATATCCAACATGAAATATGAGTAAGTGTAAGTTTTAAAAAGGTACTTCCTTAGGCAGACTTCTGAAGCACAGCTGGTTTGTCAGGATCTCTGACTCTGCAGATCTGTTTTGTTCATCTCAGCTGTGATGTTGAATCCCTCAACTTTTTGGCTTGTTTGCTCTGAATCCCACAGAACTTTTAGGTAGGTGAAGCGAAGAGCTTACAGAGGAGATATGGCTACCTGTAGCATCTTTCTGGCCTTGCTTCATATCTGATAATTTTTAAATTTGACTAAAAACGAATAAATCACCCAATCTTTCTCTGCTTCTCCCCACAATCCTTCTTTTTCATGCTTTAAAAAAACAAGCAAACAAAAAAACTGGCACCCCTGCTGTGACATACTAATAAATAGCAGGGCTTGGGGAACTAACAGCCTGTGTGAGAGCATCCCAGCACCTCTGTGCTTCTGCTGGGAGGTGTGTGGGGCTCTCACAGGCCCTACCTTTCCTGCGTGGATCTGGCCCATGGCGTGCAGAGCCGCGTCCCCAGTTTGTGATGCTGCCCTTGGCCCAGCTGTGGTGCCTGGCGCCAGCAGTCTGCGTGCCTGCTGCCAAGCTGGGCCCACAAACGGATTTATTTCTGACAAAGGGCAACTGTTAGCAGGAGTTGTTGTCTTGCTTGGTGTTCCTAATCCCTGGAATAACTGCTGTGACAAGCATAGTAACCATCTGCAGTGAGACCCGTACATTGGTGCCAATCAAGTGCAGGAATCTCAACCTTGTGAGCCTAGGATTGCTTTTTATCTTTCTTTTCAGACTTCCAGACGTAAGGCAAAGTTTGAAGCTCAAGCTCTGGAAAAGCCACCAGGAGCTCTAGTCTCTCAGGTGCAGGCACAAATCCGACTTTTGGCTCTGTGGAAATTACATGGATCTAGCCATCTTCTCTAGCTTTTCCATGCGTGGTTTGAACAATAAAAGGAAGCACCCTGAGTCCAGCATCCTGATCGTTTAAAGAACATCTGCATAGCTCTGCCCAACACTCCCAGCCTCAGCAAGGTTCAGATTGCAGTGTGCAGAAATTAGGCAATGGGAGGAGTCCTGTGTCTGTTCACAGCTGTGCAAAGTAATGAGCACTGAGCACACTGCCTGAAGGCAGAGGCAGGAACTGCCTGTTAATTACTTCTCACCTTTGCTAGGCACTGCTCTGTCTGATTTCCTCTGTTTCCAAGCTCAGGATTTAGGCAGGTTTTTTCTTATTACTTTTGGAGCATGTCAGTCCTATGGGTTTATGTATGCCTGTATCTTGCAGCAGTGCAGATCCAGTAATAAGTACTGCATTGGTGACTTTTTTATTCTTGTTGCTTCAATCACTTTTACACCAGAAAATTCCTGTTTTACATCAGTGCAGTGTCCAACTTCCAGATTTGTATTTTTGAGCTGTTTATGTGGAAGTACTGAGTTATTATTTTTTTTATTTACAGCAAAAGTTTTCTGTTATAAACAGCCATAATCTTTTGATGCTAAAGGTAATCATTGCATATAAGTTATTGACTCTTAAGTTAGGCTGTGTTGCTTAAAGGAAAACTGCATTGTTTACATTTGACAAATTATCTAAATGAGCAAAATCTATATTATAATGTCTGTCACTCTGTCAAGCTTGTTGTTTGGTTATTTGGTCATTTCCCTGGGTATTTTTCAGAAGAGAAATTTAAAAAGGCAAAAAGTCTGGTTGCAGATGGCCTCATAAAGACATAATGGAAATAAAGCCAAGCAATACATATGAGATTTGGTGCGTGGACAGTGCCAGTATGTCTCATTTTAAATGCTGAGGTTCCCCAAAACTGTGCAGCTTCACCAGAACACAGCTGCAGGGACACTCAGTATAGACCTGAGGGGTATTTCCTTGTGCCCACCTTCCTCCCTGCTGCTGGGGACAGACATCCCGCAGCTGCACAACAGCAGCACAGCTCTGCTGTCACATTGCAGCTGGGGAGAGATGGGCCTCCTATGTGACGGGAAGATACGGGCTCCAGATTTGAGTTTTCTTCTGACGTTGGATAAGACAGGCAAAGTTTCCAAGGTGGAAAAACAGGGAGAGGTCAGATTGGAGAGAGGTTTAACTGCTTTTCCAGGGTGCACCACGTCAATATTTTTTTTTCTTTAACTTTCTGAGAACTGAAATAGGCAGTGTTGTTTCAAAATGAGATGGAGAGGGCTTGCTCGGGAAATCGCATCTCGCATTCCACACACCTGGGAGCCCCTCGTTCCCCATCCTGCCCCAGCAGCGTTTAGCTCTGTGAGCAGGAATTGCTGCATCCTTACACTGCAGCCAGAGTCATTCCTGTGCTTCTGACAGCAAGGAGCAGTGCAGAAGTCAGGGGGTAGCTGGCTGATGCAGTGTAGGCTGTCTGCGAGACAGCGGGCAGGGCTGGAGGTCTTGTTTCTTCCCTTTTTTTATTCTTCTATATTTTCTTCTTTTCTTTTCTTGTTCCTTTACTGCCTCACTTTCATTCCTTGCTCTTCAGTAAGTAAATTTCAGAGAGAATGCCACTCAGTGCAGTGTTTTATTCTGAGGGATCAAACGCATAGCAGTGCTAAGGGAGGGGTGCTGCTATGCTCGTCCCCTCTGGGCTGCACACCTCAGTGTGTGCTGCAGGGTTATTCTGAAGGACAGCAATGCTGAAGGACTCCGTAGGGAATGGCAGATTGAAAATCTCCAGTTAGAGAAGGGGAATGAGTAGGAGAGACACTTAGAGTGGAAAGAGGGGCTGTTTGGTGGCAATGTTCATTGAACAGGTCAAAGGTTCAGGAAATGCAGCTGCTCCAAAGCCCGGAAAGTGCTAAGCTTGTGTCGCAGGGAAGCTGGAGTGCAGCAGATGAACCGTTTGAACCTTGGTTGCACCGGCAGGTCAACCTTTGGGCCTGACCTCACTGCTCTCACAAAAGCCGGGTTCCAAATAAAACCCAGGGCAGGATGGGGCCACCAGCACTTCCTGCTGGGCGCTGCTCACAGCTGCTGGTGACACATGCTCTGTGGAGTCGGAGGTAACGTCCTTATTCCCCAGGCTGATAAACTTGATAAGCTTTATGCATTTTGTCAGCTGCTTCATGTTCGGCCACAGCCTGGGCGAGCGTGTGGTTGCTTCATCAAATGCCCAAGAGAAGTGATCAGAGTGCAAGGGATGGGTTTGACAGAACCTCCCTTATTTACACGGGTGGCCAAAAACACCTGTTGGCTCGAATATCTGTGTGGGGTCAGTGTTCCCTGCAGTGAAAACTGTCCTTAATGCTCTTAATGCTACATTAAAGTAGGAAGCTCAGATTTTTGACGCACGTTGTGAACAAAGATATGTGATTCATTTAGTTAATTAATAAAAACCTGAAATTTTGCATGGCATTTTAAGGTGAACAGTGTTGAAAATACTTGTGCATTTCCTACTAATTCAGTAGGAATTTTGCCACATTTGAATGAGTAATTTTAGGCATCTCAGAACAACTGTTGAACTCTCACATCCTATACACCTGGGGCAGCATTCTGCTTGAAGAAGTGCTTGAAGGCACTTTTTTTTCTGTGTGTCACAAACAGCTTGCATTGCTTTTTATAGATACAAGTTATTGACTCTTCATTTGTTTTTTTTGTTTGTTTGTTTGTTTTTGTTTTTATTAATAAATTAAACGATTGCCTAAAATGCTTTAAAAATTAATTGCAGTTTTCCATTAAGAGCAAACACTCTGAAGTCCCCTTGTACGAATGAAAGATCTTGCTCATGTTGAATAGGAGCCCAATTAAAAGTGAGACTGGAGCATAATGGTATACAGCAGCAGAAGCTTGGGGAGCTGGGGATGGGGAGTGCTCTTCAGACTCTTGATTCTGCATGTTACCAGATCCTGCTTTAAGCCTGATGTATTTTATGCGAAGCAGAAAGAACTGTGTAAATGAGTGATTAGAATGACTCTAATATATGAGACATGCTGAATTTTATGCCACAGCTGGAGAAACTTATCATTAATTGAAGCTGTGAGCAAATGTATGTCATTTTTGATGTAACATCTTCCCTCACCCCTGTACCCTCCACCCCAACCAGAATCCTTCCTGGAGTCAGATTATTGCTGTAGACTTTGTGAACCCCTCTTCTAATGTTTGATCAAGTGATGAAAAGAGACATTTACAGACTATTTAAAATGTGGAAAAATTGCTTCCCAATATTTTTGACAGAGAGAGACTGAGAACACACAGCATTGAATCATCAGGAAAATTGAAGATTTCCCCTGAACAGCATTGGGATTTTACAGCAGAGGACTTGAAAGACCTTGGAGAAATTGGACGAGGCGCTTATGGTTCTGTCAACAAAATGGTCCACAAACCAAGTGGGCAAATTATGGCAGTTAAAGTAGGTGATGCCCATCCTTACGTTTGTACTTCAGTCCATTAGGGGTGAAATGTGATGGAGAATTAATGTTCTTCCATCGACAACCCATCTACTGCTCTTTTCTTTTCTTTCCAATATAAAGGCTGCTTTTTGCTGAAAATGCGTTGTATAACAGGCATGTTGTCAAGTGATTTGTGACACTCTTGTAATTGCTTGTGCCCTTTTGAAAATGCCTATCAGGAACTTACTGTTTTGAGAGGATCACATGTTTCTGGAGACTGGTAATGGGGCACTGGCCTTTCACCTCTGGGTCACTGGTTCAGATACAGCCGAGGTTGGTTGTAGGCACAAGCTGATGTCTGGCAGCTTCTTCGTGTCTTTTGTGAAGTAAGGCAGCGATGTGAGATTTGCTTTTTATGTAAGCATGTGCCCGTGGTGTAGTAATGAACCACCTCCCCACAAGGAGCTGGAATGGGATCTGCCAGGGAGTGGTTTGCTCTTGCTGATACGTGATGGTGCGTATTTGCTTTCTGCTTACCTTGCTGGATCTGCTGAGGAGATGGAAGGTGTTGTGGATTGCAGAACTGCCCATTTTCTACCTTGTGCTTCCCAAAATCTCACCTTAGAGCATGAACAATATGCAGCCTCATTTCCCAGCTGGGCGATGCGGAGTAGTTCTTGTTTTGCTGTAGCAGTACTTCTCACCAGGCATTTCTGAGAAGCTGCTCATCCAGTGAGCTGGGCTTGGTGGACAGCAGCCATTCTCTTTCTTCCATATCCTTTACTTTGCTTGCTGCTAGCTAGTAGCTAATGACATCAGACTTTTAGGTTTGCTGATGATATTAACTGTAAGTGCTCCCATGGCTCATGTGAAAGAGTAGAAGAGAGCTTTGAACTGTGTAGAAGTTGGTGTCACTCTCTTTTTTGGCTCACTCTGTCTTCTTGGTCTTTTCTCTGAACTGATCTGGAAATGTTTGCTGCTGCTGGCCTGATGTGGCATGTAGGCACACCGCAGCCCCAGCTCTAGCTGCTACAAATATAATTCATACTCATCTGAAATGTATCAGGCCACTGGAGTAACCAGCAGCCCTTTACTTTCTCCTGTGAATGTTGACATCCTCATAGGGGTGGGATCATTGGCTGGGCCTCACAGATTTTTGGGAGAGATTGCAGTGATATGGATGTTTAATTGTGTTTTTTTTTAATCCCTCAAAGTCATCAGTGGAGCTGGAGGCTGCTCGTAGCTAAAGACCTGGTTCTTTTAGTTGCTTTTGGTGGAACTGTTAGGTGGAGTTTGCAGATGATAGGTTGAAAACCGCTGATGTGGTGAGATGATGCCTGCGTGCCTTGAGCCTCCCATGCCCACAGTACGCGTTCCTAGGCAACAGGTTTTGCAGTCTTGGTGGCTGTGGGTCTGAAAAAAGCTCTGCCTATGGCCACGTGGGTTTGTGACAGAGCTCTGCAGTGGGTACAGCTCTGCTGCAATGAGTGCTTTGTTGGGCTGGCTAGTGTCACTAAGAAAGAGGCGTGTTTGCTGGCACAGAAATTCTCTTGTCCCATACTATGTTTGCAAAGGGATTTTCTGGACGGTAGCAAAGTGTTGTCAGTGTAGAGGGGCTGCAGTGCAGGTACAGCTCCCACCTGCAAGGTGCAAAGCTCCAACAGTGCTCTTGCCCACTGTTGGAGATGACATTGCGCATCTTATTGAGCTATCTTTGCTGAGGGAAGAGAGGCACGTGCAACCTCTGCGGGTGCTGGGCATGATGGCTCAGCATTAAGCAAATAAACTCCCCTAATTTTACAGTCTCTGAATTTTGAAATGTCAGAATTGCAGGCTGGGTTGGTGCCAGTTTCTTTTCTCTGAGCACACCCCTGTAGGGCACAGCTGTGCCTACTGCACTTTTCCTCACTGAAGGGAAAAGGGAAGCTGGAGGCTCTGGGCAGCCATATCTGTTTCTAAAACGTTAGGAGTGAGGGCTGTTCTGCACTGCCAATGATGATAAAATGTGACTGAGCAAAGGAAAATGTATGAGTGGAACAGTATGTGACATCTCTGCTGCAGAAAGAGCTATTTCGAAGCTGGTTGGTGCAGTTTCAGGTGAGGTTTCAGGATAGAGCTGATTCCAGACTACCTACTGGTTCATTCCAAAGCACTTAGCTTCTCTTAAATTGCTGCTGCTTTTGGGGCAGTCTGTGTTGTGCAGTAACCTGCTTTGTTCTGGTCTGGTTTACGGTCCGTCTGTGTTTGGGGCCATCCATCTCCTGTTCTCTCTGTTTCTCCCAAGCCTGTGGTGTCCTTCTGGCTTATAAAGCTGTTGCCTTCTGAAGCCCCAGCTCCTCACCTGCCTCCCGGTAAACAAGTTGCTCACTGTAGTTTCTCCTTGCTATACAGGCAGGAATTTAACTTGATATATTCTCCTTCAAATTGAAACTATCCTAAGAGAAAAAGCATAGAAAATGAATGGTTGAGAGGAAACCCTGTCAGTCTAGTGATCTGAGGTTCTAGCTATGATCTAAGTCACATCTGCTTGCAGTTCAGTCTTGTGGCACTGTGCATTGTGCCTGGCCTTGAGGACATTGAATTTCAAAACCAGTGTATCTGATTATTTGGTGGTGCTGCTGTTCCTGTCCAGTGCTTCCCTAAGAGCTGATTACAGCAACACCAGGGCAACAGGCAGATCCTTTGGAAGGGCGTTCAGCAGGAGGAAATAGGTTTTGGAGGCTGCAAGCCAGAAGTTGTTGTCTGTTCTGTAGTGATGAGTGAAACACAGAGCTTCAGAAGCTGCTAGTTGGATGCAGAATATCTCCTTCATCCCCTTCCACCACTACCCATGACAGGATTCTGGAGCGATCAGCTGTCTTCCACCCCACTTTCTTCTGGCAGGATTAAGTCCTATTTGCAGTTACCATCTCCAGGCTGCATCGGCATGCGGCTTCTGCGGACAGGTTCAAATCCTGCTAGTTCCACAGGCGTGCTGCAGTTACATAGTAATGAACAGATGAAGAGTTGCTCTTTTCCCATGTTGGAGTTTCCAGCTCCTGCTGCACCCAGCAGCCTGGCAGCTTTGAGCACTCATCCTGCACACCTCTCAGACTTGAGGAAATGCAGCTGCTATGTCAAACCTCAGATTGTTTCCACTTCCTTCTTCTGGCTTTTCCTACCCTGTCATGCCACTTTCATGACACTTTGCAATCTTTGGTTCCTTCAGGCATTGTTTACATTCACCTTCTGCTTTCTCTCTGCATGGTGCCCTGTGTTTTCCCTGCAGCATGCGTTCTGCTCTGCTCCTGAGGTTCCCAGGCAAAGCTCAGGGTCTGTCTCTCCTGTCTCCACTTCTTACCACAGTAGTCTCCACTCCTGTGCATGCTGAAATAACACCAAAACAACTTGAGACGTGCAGGTGAAAGCACAGTTTCTCTTCATTTTCTCCTTGTAGGCAGTTTGGCCTGATCAGCCCATGTCTGGATCTTGGCAGATGTAATCCTGGGACCTCTAATGAGAGCATCCTGTGACTGTCAGGCCCTTGGGCAAGACTGAAAGCTTTCATCTGGTACTTCAGCATCAGCAGTGGAGGAGGAAAGTACACCCCTTTATGTCACTGGTGTGAAGCTTTGGGCTGTTGGAGGGAGAGGCTTCGATGATAAATTATTGTGCCCAGTTCTACTCCTCCCTCTCTTTCAGTTTTTGTCCTGCTGTGCCCTTAGAAATAAGTAGTTAAATAACAGGAAGACGTGACATGTCTCTGCAGGGCAGGTCGGAGCAGCAGGACGTGGCTGCAGAAGGATGGGAGCTGTGCTCTTGCTTACAGGCAGGCAGTTGCAGGATTTGCTGTGTAGCTTTTGCTACACAGGTCATTCCCCTGGTCATCCCATTGAAAGCCTCTTCCCAAGCACATCAGGAAGGAGAGGTGGTAAAAGAAAGAGGAATTGGACTCAGAGGATTTGTATGGAACGTTTTTTCATTTTTCTCTATGAAAAATATTCTATTTTTGCGAGATTGAAAGAAGAATCCTCTTGTTCCTTAAATCTCATTTATCTCACAGATCTTCCTACAGGTTCCAAGTGCCTGTTCACTCAGTCAGTGGGCACTGCGATCTTCTTCTCACTCAAAAAATCCCCATTAATTTTCCTGAGAGTTTATTTGCATATGGGGTCAAGGCTCTCCCTTATGGGAAAGAAAACAGCCCATTTTTGTCCATTGCCAACTCTGTGCAAATTCACCACTGCAAAGCCAGTTTGTACATTAACTCTATACCTCCTGAGCAGGCTTCTCTTCTGGAGTCCTTCTTTTCCTTGAAGGCAGTAACTGCCCTGGCCCACATTTGCCTGTGGCACCAGCATCAGTTCTCTGTGATACTGTCTTGTCCAGCTTCCAAATTTCACCCATTGTCCTTTCACTTTGTTTCTGGTTTCTTGTTTATTCTTCTGTTCTTGTTCACTCTGTGTCAGTCTGTAAGTCACTTGTGAACAATCTCTCTGCAGGGAGCTCTGGTCCCTTCCTGGGATCTGCTGCACTCTGTCATTCCTCATCTTATTGCTGAGGCTTCACAACACATGCTGCCCCAGCCCCTTTGGTACCTGCCCTCCAGTATCACCATATGTTGTTGTCATAGCTGCTCTGGGGGGCTGTGCATCTTGTTTCATGAGGATACCACACAGCCAAAGAGCCAGACTGTCTTTGACAGATCAAAGTCCCATTTTATTAGGGTGAAGTGGTTTCCTTGGTAGGCTCACCAAGCAGCTGAGGGTTATTTCTGTCCTGAGATTTCCCTTTAAGATAGGTGATCAAAACGAGATGTTAAAATACCCTTATTTTCCCAGATTGATATGAAAATATATAAATGAAACGTCCCCCCAGTCTGAATGAATGCTAGGAACTATTCTCACTGTTAGAGCATGATGCTCCGCTTACGCCTTAAATAACACAGATAATACGTAGCGTGGGTTTTATTAACCAGAATTCTGAAGGCTAGGAGGGTTTCTTGCTTGAAATGTTCCCAAGATAAATAATCAAATATTTGACATAGCCAACCTTCAACCTGTGAAGCGGTGCTTGTGCCAGCCTGGAGCCCAAGCACAGCAGCAATGGGAAGGCACAGCTCAGGCCCCTGCACTCCCCTCCAGCCTCCTGAACCACGGCTCTCCAGTTGCAGCTGGACGTTTTGGTTTCAGTGCTAGAAGCTTCTAACAGTTTATTCCTCTTCTGGTTCTCTTGTTTTAAACTGGCTGACAAATGTGCTGTCAAGAGCCTGGTCAAATGGTTTGTGCTTCAGTTGGTGTTCAGGCTTCTTCTCAGGGCCCCATGGACAAGTTTTGCTCCTCTTGTGGTTTTTCCATCAGAAATATATCTAGGGAGTGAGCAAACTGCAGAGGGGGCATTTTTGTCTGCAGTCCTCCAAGTTTTCCTGCTCTCCAGAAGAGGCAGTGATTTTCAGCTATGTACCAGAATTTTCTGTATCTTGCAGTATCTTTCTGCAGCATAAATCAATCTAACTGATTCAGTCTTTCTCTGCAATATTATCTAGTTTAGTTTCCACTTCTAGCCAACATGTTCAGATTATGTTGGTTTTCTGCCTTCTGTGTAGTCTAGCAATAGTTTTGAGCAGTCTACAGGCGGCCTTCCACTTCTTCTGCACTTGTCTTAAGAAATTCAGGAGCAATTCTAAGATCAGCTGGGTAATCGGAGAAGCTGGCTGAGGCACTGTTTGGAAATGCATAGGGTGTCAAGCCTATAAAATGCCTGTAAAAGATCCTTGTTCTTCCAGGAGAAATCAGTAAGCTGTGGAGCCGTTCCTGCTTCAGAACACAGTGCCTCTTTCACACCATTTTGCACTGTAGTCAGTGCTTGCTCTCTTACCCATTGCTTTAAAACAGGTGTTTAAGTCTTGGCTTTCACGGATTTTCACTGAAGGCAGTCCCATAGTTGAAAAAGGTTGTTGAGTATCAGATGTCCTTGAGAGCAGAAGTTAAACATTTATTTATACCTCTGTAATTTATCCATCATTTCCTGGATGTCTGATAGCCCTCTAAGATGACACACAAGTGGATTAAGTTCAACCAAGGGGCATGTTTCTCTGACCTTCCTGTTTCCCATATGATTTTGGAAGAGGAGCATTAGGATTTTTGCGAGCTGGCTTTGTGGTATACATTTCCATTCTTGGCACAATTAGATACAGTCCCTGAAGATGACTACTTATCTTAGAATTTATTGAGGAGGATTTTGTGTTTCACTCATCTGTTTGGGTAGTTGGCTGAGAGTAAGGGAAGGCTGTTCCAAACCCTGCTGATAAGATACAGAGGAAGTAGTGAGTGATGAATTAAAAGGAAATGGTGAGAGACTGAATCTTATTAGAGGAGACAGAGGCTAGTTGTGATCAGTGGAAGACCTGACGTGCTTTTTTCAGGGCTAAAAGTGTTATGGATGGATAGGTGAATGTTCTTGTCCTCAGCAGCAAGTGTGCAAAACCCCCTTCCAGCCCTCTGTTCCTGTCACCCTGCAGATAACACAGCCCACTGGGGCGCTGTCAGGCACCGCTGCTGGGCTTTCTGCTGAGCCCTGTGTGCAGAACAGTGCTGTTTTTCCTCCTAGCTCAAGAAGCAGGTTTTCAGTTTCATGCCATTGGCTTTTCTCTTCCTTTTCTTCTTTTCCTCTTTACCTTTCCCCTTTTTCATTATTCTCTTTCCTCTTTCTCAACTGATTGCTACCCACTGCACCTGAATCTTTTCTTGTGTGTACTGAGGCTTGGTGATGTCTCTTCTGTTTCGGGTCTGCTTTGTGGAATTTGCCTGGTTTTAGGTTCAAGTGATCCAATCCACAGAGCATAGCTTAGCATTTTGCTGCTGATGCTGTCCAGAGCACAACTTTCAGAGCCCTTGTTTCTGATGTTAGAAGGCTGCATCCTAACCTGGGTTTGTACTAAATGGGCTGAAGAATGTACTTCTGAAGGCTTTATTGCAGTTTGAGGCCAACAAGGAACTGTTAAAAATGAGACTTCCTCTACCTGGTAGAATAAAACCCTTCTTAATGTAGCTTTGTTTGGCCATAGCAGCGCCTGCATGCAGTAGAGTAACCAGGCTAAGACGTGTAGGACCTGAAGACAAGTGAGACCTGTCCGTCCCATTAAATGGTGTCACCAGACTGTTGCCTTGCTCTGTGTCTTCCTTTCCTGCCATTTCCCACATCCTTGGAAAGTCTGTCTGTGGGAACAGCTGCAGTGTCTTGCCATAGAGTTAGATAGCGAGTCTTCATTACAGCTCATGTGCTATTTGAATAATGGCTGCTGTTGACTTTGATTACCTTTCGCTTTTTCTTCCTTCTTTTGCTGCTGAATGCCTGTTCCTTAGCTGGTGAATTGAGATTGCTGGCATGCAACAGACTCTCCAGCTAAACAAAGCTGTCTTCTCCAGCCTGGGCTGCCCCTGCTCCGTGCTGTGCTGCACATTGTCTCTGATTGTTTTGCTCTCATCTTGAATTTTCAAACCCCAAGTCCCCAGCAGTCTTTGGACCCTGAAGCGATGTTTGCTCAGGAGTTCATGCTGGCTTCTCAAGTTGTCCTTTGGGTGCTGCATCTGCATGGATGCTCTGCAGTATAACTGACTGACAGTCCATCCTCTGGGTCCTTTACTTGCTCTTACTCTTTCTCCCAGGGGAGATTGTGGTTGGCAAAAAGAGCAGTGTTAGGATTTGGTTTTGTTCCAAGGTGCCATTAAAATCACCTCCACTATACAACATACCTCGTATGCTTTCCAGAGATGAAGAAGTAAGAGCAGAAAAGGAAATATCAGAGGTGGGATGAGATGCTTTCAGGTGAAGTTGTAGAATTTGAGAAGCATGCTGCAAGGAAGGCTGGACTGTGCAAATGTGAGAGTGATGCAGAGGGAAGCTAAGAAGATTCGTGGATCACCATGAGAAAGGCTTGTGGGGGGCTGGGAGATACAGAGTTGGCAGGGAAGAGAGCTATGAGTCACAGTATACAGTATAGACAAAAGATTCTTCTTGTATTTGCTCCTCACCTTTTTTGTGAACTTTTCAGAGAAGTGCAGAGAAGCATCTACACTGTTCCTCAGACATCCCACCACAGTGGCTTTGCCATCTGTCATCTTCAGTCAAGGGTCAGAGCAATGTCATTATCATTTCATGCAGTGCTGATGCCATCTAGAAAGACACATTCATTCTGCTTAGCCTTTGGTGTCCCAGCACGGGGTTGTAGAGCCTTATGTGACTTTATGTGGCTTTCTTCAGTGATGGCACTGAACTTCTGCAAAACAGATTTGAACCAGTGACCTAGAGGTGAAGTGGTTTAGTTCATCGCTAGTCCCCTCAGCCACCTTCTTGCTCTGTTTGCAACTACAAAGTATCACCCACTCGGTGGCTTTGCAAGGTGTGTGGATGTGCTGGACAATTTTTCCCTAGTACTCTAGAACCCACCAGGAGGGAAAAGGACAGCATGAGCACAACAATGACTGGTTGTTAGGTCTAGTAGGCCAAACTAGAACATAAAGAATGAATGGTGAAATAACAATATCAGGATGCACCAAAGGTAAGGAAAACTGTAGTGTCAACATGGTCCTCACTTTTTGTGACTCAACACAAAAAAGTAAAGGTACAAAATCATGCACTGTTTCTTAAACGATGTGTTATGAACAGCCAACCTTGATTGTACCTTCACATTCTTAGCCCTGTGCTTGTCACATGTGTGGTCTTACTGCCACCAGCATTTGTTTGCAGGGCAGGGAGCTCTGCCCAGCAGTGCTGGTAGGACTTGGTGCTGGCATCACACAGGTTTGTCCCAGAACCTTGCATATTTTTTCTTTCCTAGGTGCCAAGTGGTTATTGTCCTCAAGGAGTGCCTAGGCTACTTCTGTCGCTTTGGGCTTCTTGACAATTACTTGTTCTTTTTTTTTTTTTAAATTATTTCTCAATGTGGCTTCTTCAGGGTCATGATTTTCCTCACATTTCAGGGAATGCATTAATTAGTGCAAATTGCTAAATGTGTTTGCAAAAGTTACATGGAAATCTTTGGATGGTCCACTCCATCCTGTATTTAATGAGCTTCATGTTTGGAAGTGTGCTATCTTCTGTTTTCAAACTTGCATTGTTCTTTCCCACTCAAATCATAGATTTCCTTATGTACAGTATGAAGAATAGTATGTGTGTATATATATATATATGTTTCAAACATATAGTATGTCTATATTTTGTACATTATATCTTAATGTTACCTTGGCCAAGGATGTTTCCTCAGCCAACTATTATTAGTTTTATGAGAAAGACTGTTGCTCACCATTAGGGTTTCCAGAGAAATGTGTTTCCTCGATTACCTGATGGGCCATTTTCAGAGTCAGCTGTGGTGGAGAAAATCGTTTTGTCTTCTTTGCTTTTCTTATTGATTTGAAACACAGTGTTCCTTAGTTAAATTTCAAATTGGTCTTTGAGCCCCATCCAATATTGCTAAGAACTCTGTGGGTATTTGTTTTGAAATAAAAGCCTGAATGTATTGTTTCACTGTAGGTTTCAGTGAAATTTCTGCTTTTCGATTTCATTCTGCTGTTTCATCTGAAAATGATGATGCTTAATGATAGTAAAACTTAATTGAGTATATTACAGTCTGAATTTAACTACTTTTGGGGTTATCAGTTAAAATTCTTGTTTGACAATGTCGCTCAGTTATTGCAGTTCAGTTTTCCAGAGCATGCTTTGGGGACTGCGTGCTCAGCCTTGGGTTTGGGGTCCCTGACATGTTTCTCCAGTGGTGGTTTTGAAGATTCAGTAATGGCATATAAGTGATAAAGTCTCTGCCGCTCTTCCTCTTTCAGAGAATTCGGTCGACAGTGGATGAAAAAGAACAGAAGCAGCTTCTGATGGACCTTGATGTAGTAATGCGAAGCAGTGACTGCCCATATATTGTTCAGTTTTATGGTGCACTCTTCAGAGAGGTGGGGACTCCAAACTTGCTTCATTCATAGCACACTTTGTTTTTCTGCCTTTATTGTCTTTGCAGTTGCCAGTTTGCAATAAGGATGAGAAAATTAATTTGTTAGGATTTCTTGACTGCCACCTTTAATCAAGGTTATTTAACCAAGATACCCAGATGTCTGAGTGCTGCTAAACACCTAGATGCTCTCCCACTTGTTATTGTGTCTGTCTGCATATTTCAGTCTCTCTTTCAATGAACTTGTGGTTCCCTGTGCAAGGTGAGTGCTGCTGGGCTGGGTGCAGCTCTGCAGCACCATGCTTGGACACAAGCGTGATCAATGTCAGCTGTTATCAGAAAGAGCCACGTGGAGGACGTGCAAACTCAGTGTCCCTGTGGCTGCTGGAAGGAGACTTTTACCTGATGTATGTATAGATGTATGTGTGCACGTGTGTGTACCAGGGCTGTGTCAGACCCACGATTGATGTGCTTCTTCCCTGAAGTTTGTATGTGCAGATGCACGAGGAATCACCTTGCTGGGTCAGAGCAGCAGATGCTCCTGTCTCTGGCAGTGGCCCACAGGATCTGCTTACAGAAGCATGTGTGTGACTTTGGCATAGCCTTCAGTCATGTGTAGATTAGTGTCTTCTGAGCTCTGTCTTTTGCTTAGTGATTTTTCCTGGATCTCTTGTCCATTAAAAGGTTTGTTTTTCCTTTGAATACCTGTACATTTTTTGCATTTGTAGTGCTCCCGGAGAGGGACTTCCTCTGGTTGTGCACCCTTCATTTGGAGGCCTATCACCACAGTTCATTTCCAGTTTTCATCCCACTATCCTGAGTGCTGCTCCCAGTGGTTCCCTTGGTGTCTCTATTTGATGAGACTGTTGCTCCTTATCCATTCTGTCCATGCCCGTGAGGATCTTTTGGAGTGTTGCCATATTCCTTGCTACCGTATCTTCTTCTTCAGCCTGATAAGTGCCAGCTTGTGTCATACACAGAATCCATTCTGATCTTTAATAATCTCTCTTGCTGTTATCTGCATCTTTTCCAGTTCTATGCTATCCTTTTGGTGCCACAATTGCATTGCTGTTCTTGAAAGGAGCAGTACCTGCAATAGCTTGCCTGGGGGGCAGTAATTTTGCTTGGACCTTTAGTGCACATAAATACTCTGTGCTGTGCTGTGGATTGAGTTATCCAATATGACACTTCCATGAATTAAAACAAGACCGGAGTTAGAGCATCAAAAGCTATGTAAGCTGACCACTGTTAATCCTGACATAGTTCGGTTCTTCGTAGCCAGGAGTACAGTGTTAATCACTGCATTTTTGTGCATCTACTAGCATCTACGTATTATATACATAATTTAAGACATGAATTATTCTGCAAGGCAGCAGAAGGTATTGTTCTGTCTCCTTGAGCCTTGCCCAGGCACTCTCATTGCCTTTGAATGACCAGTGAAAACAGTTGGGTGTTCTGCATGCAGCCTGAGCAATCTTATGCCATCTTTGCATGTTTTCTTCTACTTGAGCCTACTTAGAGGAAGAAGAACAACAGTAAGTAGATCCCTGTTTTCCATCTTTGCACATTATCTGGCATTGCAGCCCATGCTGAGCCTGTAAGGGCTTTACTGGAGTGCTGTTAGAGGAAGAAGGTGAATCTTGAAATTTAAAGCTCACAGTTGGAACTGAATATTCAATTCCTGCTTCTCAAGAATCTTTCTCTGTAATTTCATCGAGTCTTTTCTCTGACTTTGAATCTCAGTCTCTAAAATAAGGCTACTAATCCTTCCTTTTCCCATGCTTCACACTGTCTTATCTGTTGAACATTTTGGGGCAGGAAGCGTTGTCCCTGTTCATGCGGTCTGAACTCCTACCGAGTGTGGAGGCTCGGCCTTGGCTGCAAGTTGGCAGCTTCGCTGAAATACAAATGATAAGGCTGTCTCATAGTTTGAAGGAAAGTCTCTGGGCAAGGCCATATCTTGCCAGATGCTGATGAGGTACGTGTGCAGAGCTGCTTGAGCCTGTCACCTCTTTGCAACTTTAGGTACATTCCAGAGTGTAAGCGTACAATAATGCAAAAACCTGCCCTGGTCAGTGCCCAGCCGCCAGTCCAGCCTTTGCAGCACCCTCTGTATTGTCAAAAATTCTCTTGCAGCTAGGCACTGTTCTTTGGGCAAGGCTGCAGTAAGGTATATATTGGGATATATCGTGTTGGCCCCCTTGCATCCCCTCTGCCTTCGCCCTCAGCATCAGTGATGTGGGATTTTTCCCCTCACCTTAGTTTCTTCCTGATATACTTGGATGAGTTTTCTGTCTTGTCATATTAATTAAATGTTCAAATACAAATTACGTTTTTTAAAGGAAGGGAAACTGTGACAGCAGAGAAGAGAAAAAACTTATTTAAGTGAAAAAAAAAGATTTTCAGCAGTATGTTTGATCCCTCCAACTCTGATCCATTCCCAAAGTAATGGAATCATGCAGCTCCCTGTTGCACTGGATCGTGGGACCACATGGAACTAAACATCTCTCAGGAAGTCCTACAGCAATACATGTGTCAACAAACCTTGTTTTTCAGCATTTTAAGGTGAAAAATAAGGAAAAACATTCTGGAAGGCAGATCTTGGGACCTTCTGCTCTGAGCCAGGATTCAGATTCTCTGGGAAAAGATGGAGCTACAGGTGGGAAATTTTCTTCCTCCTGCTTCTAAAAGGTGAAAAACTTCACTCTGAGTCTCTTTAGAGGAGCTAGAATATGGAGCAGGCAGCTCTCACAATCAAATAGTTGGCAAGAAGGTTGTAGCAGCTTCAGGAGGAGCAATAGGACAGCTGGGCTGTTCTGAATGGCAGGTACCTCTCTGAAGGACTGAGCAGTTTGTGCTGAGAAGCAGAGCTCTCCCCTGGTTTGGGGAGTAGGAATAGTAAATCAAATTGGATGGAACTTACTTTGAAGACAGTCATTTAACTGTAAACAGACAAGTTGCTGTGACAGCCTCTATGAGTATAAAACGTTTGGTTTGGAAAGGCATAAAATACTGCAGGTGAATATTTTCCCTACTTGTATTCTCACTTGTTCAGCAAGCATTTTTTGATAGGGAAAGGTTTAAAATGCTGCTTTGTCTCTGGCAATTCTGACAGTTTGAAAGCTTCTTGAAAAATTGCTCAATGCCATAAGCTACAGCTATACCATGATAACCAGACTGGGGGATGAATAATCTGCATGGAAGCTTGAGATGGGATTGAGTCTTTTCTGGGAAGTGGTATTGGTTGTCCCTCAGCCATCAGCACCTTTACCTGTGTTTTATTTGCTCCTTGTTCCTCAATCACATGGTACTTCCTTCTGTTAGGTATGTCTACAAATACAGTGTAATATACATCGATGCAAATTATTATGCAGTGGAACTTCGTGAGAGTTTTTAGGCACTCACTTAGGTGAAATTGAATTACCTACTTAGTGAAACATGAATCATGGAAAAGCAACATTTCAACCTTTGCATGAAAGAAGGAGACTTTATCATGCTGACATCAGATGGTGCCTGTGCTGGAATCTCTTTCCAGAGCTATGAGGTTGTGACCTTGATGTCACCATTCGCATCCCCATGGTGGTACAGCCTACTTTGTTCTGTTGAGGCAGTTGACCACACTGCTCTGCTGCTTCTACAGAAATCCCGGGTGGAAAGTTTCACCTTTTTGGCAAGAACAGGAAGCATCCCTCACCACTGACTTGTTCATGTGAGTCAGTTGAGATGGCTTTCATGTCCACAGCTTGACTTCTTAAGAGAGAAGGTTGCTTCTAGTAAAGCCTGAGGAATGAGGAGAATCAGGAAGAGAAACATGGGAGAGATGGTTGTGCTGTTATTCCTGTGCTGTAGGAGATTGAGAGCCTGATGAAGGCAGCTGCCTTCCCTATACTGCCCCAGCGAGACCATTGACTTCTGATTTACAGAGCACACAGAGCTTTCCACATCAGTCCTGAGAGATGGCACGTTGCAGAAGGTCTGGTTACCAGGGTCAGTTTGTTTCCTCTCAAAACAGTATTTGCCAGATGGGAGATGAAGAAGAGGATGGCTAGGAATTCTGCAAAGATTTCACTGGTGAGAATGCAAGAGTATCAGGCTGAGCTATGCATCTGCTCTAGGTGACCCTGAGATGTCTCTTGCTCCCTCAGAGTTGCTGTTTGGAGGACAAAGATATCTGTGAGAAAAGCAGTTGTTCTTTCTTGTGTGTATGCTGCAAGATTTGCAGCTGACCTACTTTGAGATTGTTCCTGTGTCCCAACCACACTAACTACTCTTAAGGTCACCATTCCTGTTACTTTTCTTATCAAGAGAGGAAGAGGAAAAAAGCCTTGTCTGACTTGGGATATCAGCAGCAACTTCTACACACTGTAGCCAAGGTAGCCAAGCCAAATTTAAATCAACAGACTCGGTAAATGGTAATGCAAAATTAATTCCAAGCTGTAAAATAAGCCCAGGAAGCCCAGGCAAAGCAGGCCATGGGACCTTCAGCTGGTGTAAGGGAAGAGTTAATAGTATGGCTGTGACAGCATGTGATGTTGATTTGAGTTGTGGATGTATCTTTGATCATTTGATACAGGGTCTTTGTTCTCTTTGCTGTTGATGTCTGCTCATCTTGAGACACCCAGAGGAGAATGGGATGGAGTGCCTGTCACCTGCAGTGCCCTGGGAAGGGCTTTCATAATACACACTATTTTCTTGAAGTAGAGTCATAGAATCCTTAGGGTTGAAAGGGATGTCTAAAGGCCATCCAGTCCAGCTCCCCCGCAGTGCACAGAGACATGCACAGCTAGATCAGGTTGCCCTGGGCCTTATCCAGCCTTGCTTGAAAGTCTCCAGGGACAGAACACCCACCACATCTCAGTAGCTGCTTTTTCCCAACTCTTGAAAGTAGCGTTTAAAGCCATGCTCTATGACTTTTGTCCAATAAATACTCTGTTTAAATCTATGGGATCTCTAGGAATTTTCAACAGTTAAAAGACCTTTGCAGACTGCTCTAGAAACTCTCAACTCTTTTTTATTGGTGACAAGTTAAGATTTGAGGAAGAATGAAAGCAATTACGTTTAATGAAATTTTATACTACACAAAAGCATTCAGACAAAGAGGGTGACAGTCAGTTTAACTTTCCTGTGACAGGACAGAACCTCTAGAAAATGAAGTAATAAAAAAATAAATATTTCCAGTATCCTGCATTCTCAGTCAGAGACAGTGTTGCCCTCTGTCCCGAAGATCTCTGTTAATATAAGTATAATATTCAGAACAGTGCTAGTCATTACAAAGACTTTCAAAAGTGTCTCCCAATGCCAACAGAATACACAACATCCAGGCTGGCTCTTAAATCTGCAGTGCTTGTTATTTCAACATATTCATGTGTGTTTGGTACCTTGAAGATGAGTCTTTCACTGGACTGAGACTCCATATGTGACATAGCTGCTCTGTAGCACTTCTGCGGAGGTCCTCGACGTGCTACCTGACCGTGGAAGTCTTCAGCTGTTTCGGAATGGCTTGAGATGTCTGGTCAAATGAGCAATCCTCAGTGCTTAGGAAAAGTGCCTTATGTGTCTTGTAAGGAAATGTGGGAATCTGCATTCACTCTCGTTCATATAGCTGCGACTTGCATAAAGGTGCACTACAGTGGTAAAACTGCAGTGTTGGTAGTGCAGGATCGTAGACTGGTTGAGGCTGGGGGGAACCTCTTGAGGCCATTATGTCCAAGCTCCCTGCTCAAGAAGAGCCACCTGGTGCAGGTGGCCCAGGGCCATGTCTGGGCAGCTTTTGGTACTGGAGATTCCACAACCTCTCTGTGCAACCTGTGACACTTTGCACAGACAAACGTGTTTGTGGATTGTGTTCTTAGGGAGCCTCCTGTGCTGTGGTTTGTGCCCAATGCCTCGTGTCCAGGGGAAGAGCCTGGCTCCTTTCTGCACTGTTCTTTCAGGTATTTGTAGACACTGACGAGATCCCCTTGAGCTTTCTCTTCCCCAGGCTGAACTCACCCTTCGTCATCTTTTTGGCCCTTGGTTGGACCCTCCTGTGGCTTCATGTCTCTTGAGGTTGGGAGCCCACATCTGGACTGAGCACTCCAGGTGTGGCCTTACCAGTGCTGAGCCAAGGGGAGGGATCAAGCTCCTGGCAGTACTTTGCCTAAGGCAGTCCAGGATGCCATCAAGCTTATCTGTGCCTGGTTTGTGTTCATCTTGTCTGCCAGGACCTCCAAGTCCTTTTCCTGCCAAACTGCTTTCCAGCTCAGTGGCATCTCTGTAATGTATTTGGCTGTGGGCTGGCAACTAAGAACACACAATTCAGAAATGGAAGCAGCCCAGCTGCTGGTAAAAACACAGTTTTAGTGTATGTCCAGGACCATTGGTAGTGAAGGACGTTTTTCAACGTGCCTACAAGAAGTGCACTAGCATCTGGTAATTTAGTACTTGAAAAGGAATAAAATATATTTTTTGGAAGAATAGCTATAGGTGGAAGAGAGAAGCTGAATTTCTTCGTTTGCTGTTTTATGATCAGAAATCAACCTGACCTGGGAGTATAAATTGAAGAGAAACTTTCATTAAGATAATTTTGTTCTCACAACTCAAGATGAAGCAGAAGCTTGCCATGCACATCAGCACTTCTCTGTCTTTGCTAAGAAAGGAGCTGGGTAACCAAATGCAGTTGTACCTGCCAGTCTTAACCTTTGTTCTCAGTGAGGTTTTTCAGCTCTGCCTGTAGGTGGGTTCTTTCAAGTTACAGGAAGAGAGGAGAACCTGCAGGATTTTAACTCTTAGCACCAGCCTTTAAGAAGCTACATAGTTGAAAAGCTCTCTCATCTTTCTTCACTAATCTTGCTGATGTGAATTCATGTTGATCAGGTAAACTTTTATATTGCCAGGTCGATAAATGTCCACACCCAGGGTTTCTGTATGGCATATATTCCAGGGGATGGACAAAACCATGTCTTGGTTTTTGTTCAATCATTTTGAATGTTGTGGTGACACACAGACATGTTGGAGTGTTCAGTAATGCACACCACAGCCCTGCAGACATACAAAGTGAAGCTTTTGTTACAGTAACAGCTCTGACAAGGTTGCCTGTTGGTCGGCATAAATTGGCTTTTCGTGCGCAAACAGCAGCCTGGTAACCTGGGCCACTGAGGGTGCTCACATACCAGTGCAGGACATAAACGTGAGGCTGAGGGCAGCCAGTTGAATTCACAAATGAATCCAGTTCCCTGTAGTCTCAGTACAGTCACAGGAATGTGGCACACTAACAGTTTTTAAGCTGGGGCTGCAGAAGCAATGTCTTGAAAGATCCTGTGGGCAGTGGAGTCGTCGTTTGCTTTCGCTGTGGATAGTTGGTAAGGGTCTGGTATGGTTTCAGTTTCACATGATTTCACATGCATCACTAACACTGCATCCACAGTACTTTCTCTGAGCCACTCCTGATGATACAGAAGTGCCACGACTGCACTTCACATTTGTTGCCAATGCTGAAAAGGAAACACTTCTGCATATGGAACAAATTCATTTCTACAATTTAAATCAGATCAGGTCCTCAGCCAAATCCATCCATAACCAATGTTTCTCTAGCCTCCTGAGCTCTCCTTTCTCCATGTCTCTCTCCACAACTGCCTTGTGTCAATCACTTGGAACGGCTGTGTTCTCTTCTCTCTGTGCTGCATTTGCCTCTTGGTGGTGTCCCAGCCTCTGCATTCAGCAAAGTGCCTTTTTTGATCAGTGCCTTTTGCTCTGTTTCAGGTGTGTTCTTTGGGCTCAGGCTTGTAGCAGCCTTTTCCCTTGTGTGGGAGACGTGAGCTGGTACCAGTGTGTAGGTGAAGGATGTTTTTACACCACTGAAACTGTCCCCTTTTATTCCCACTGGCCCTTTTGCTGGCCTTTTGTGTTCCCACTAAAGCAAGCACTTGGTCTGGAGATGGATGCCATGGATAGTGGATGCCATTTCTTGGCCTGTTTTTCGTAGGAGGTCATTCTGAGCGAATGCAAAATCCCTTTTTTTGGCCTTAAAGCCTGTGGCTTGGCATGCTTTTTTAATTCTCTCATTAATACCTGAGAATTACTCCTGGCTGACGTGAGGACCAGGACATGGCTTCAAACAGAACTGTCTTGAGGTGCACCGAATGGGAGCATGGGGCTTTGCAAGAGTGCCAGCATTTCTACGCTCTCGTTTTTTTTTCCTCATTTCATTTCCATGTGCTTTGTGTGTGTCTGTTTTTGTCGGATTGGGGATAATTACTTCAGGAGGCTTCTCCTCTATTTGTCACTTCCTACATTGCAGGAGCTGCTGCTCAGCAGTGCTTCAGACAGTGCCTCACCACAATGGGGCAGCCAGGCTGACCAACCTCATCTCGCAGTTATATTTTGGCAACTCATGCAGTTTTTACAGTGATTGTGAGGCAGCCTATGGAGATTGTCATTTCTGGTGAGGACAGTCCAGTCCTGGTGGTGTAGTATTCCTAGGAACAGCGCACTGCATGAAGTGCATTACGCTCTGCAGGAACAACTCATACAAAGCCTTCAGTGGTCCTCAATGGGAGCAAAAATGTTTAAAAATTGAAATAGCTAAGATCAATCCAAGGCTGAGCTATTTATCACATGCATACTGCAACAAGAGATGAGAAATTCTTCCACACATAATCTTTGCGGTGACCCATTTCTTATCCCCATCTTGAATGGGCTGACTCACAGATCTTAGGAGAGAACTTGGTGAGAAGACATGCTGCTCTCCTCTGATTGTTAGTTTAGTTTTTCATAGAATCATACCCCATAAAGATCATCTGGTCCAACTCTTCTGCAGTGAGCAGGGACACGCAGAGCTCGAGGTGCTCAGAGCCCCATCCAGCCTGACCTCCAGATGCCATCATCTTCTCTGGGCAACCTGTGCCAGTGCCCCACCACCCTTTTCATTTAGCAGAGATGTGCCTTAATAGTTGTCCACATTTAAATTAACTGTTAAATGCAAGTCAGCAAAACTCCCTGTCCTCCAGGATTTCTTTTCATTTTCTCTTGCTTTGATTATGTCTCCAAATGTAGTATGAAATGTTCTCTGGCCTATGCAGAGTTGACATAAACTGCAGGGCATTTCTGTAGTCCTGCAGTGTGTGGCTGTGTCTCACTGTGCCATCAGCCTCCTTGAGAACCAGACAGTTTTTCGGGCATCAGTTCATCTAGTCTCAGGGAGCTAATATGCGATGTCAAGTCTGATCTTGTCAATTAGATTTCTCTGCTGGTGGATGGAGTGAGAAGTGGATAATAGGGGTGATTTCTCCATTGCTCTCAATGACTAGCTCAGGCTCGCTGCTGATCAAACAGCTGAAATTAATCAGGATGGAATTCTTCCTTCCTGTCAAATGCATGTTGCTGTTTCTGTGTTTTATTGGATTAGAGGGATATCTTAATGCTCTCTGGGTTTTTGTTTCTCATTTAAGCTTGACAGTAATAAAGATTCTTTTCTTTTTCCAGGGTGACTGTTGGATCTGTATGGAGCTCATGTCTACCTCGTTTGATAAGTTTTACAAATATGTATATAGTGTATTAGATGATGTTATTCCAGAAGAAATCCTAGGCAAAATCACTTTAGCTGTGAGTATTTTGTTAAGCATTTTTTGGTGTGTGTGTGTGATTTTTTTTTTAAGCTAGTTTGAAAAATTCAGGTCTCTTAACTTGTAAGAAAGATACTTGATCTGCATGCAGTACAGCTGCTGCTGTTGTATTGCATCACAGTGTTAATGAACCTCGAATATATTGTAGCTTTCCTATAACACATTACATGGTGGAGAATCAGGTCCTGGAGGTCTGTAACATTGACTCTGCTCAAAGCCTTGGCTGTCTAAATATGAGGGTAAGCACTGGCTCTGCAAAACAGGCTTTTGGGTTTGGGCTGTGAGGGAAGGAGTGTTGAAAAGTATCCTGAGATCTCTGTCCTGCTGCTGTCAATAGACTCTGTTGGGCCCATTGAATTTCTGCAGGATAGTGTGGGCTTCTGTGGTCCAGAAACCTCTTGGGCAGAGGCTCCTAAAAATGCAGGTGGGTTCTTCAGCAGGAGCATAATCAGTTTGTTGTTCTGGTCCAGTGAAAAAGTCACAGCTGAGCCAAGTGGGTGAAATAACCCACTGTTATTTCAGTGAAGCCTCCAAAAGGTGAAGGGCTGCAGGAATCAGGTTTGGGAGTGACAGGAAAATGTGAGTGATGTGTTGTAACAAAGCACAGACTGCCTCTTTGCAGTAAGTTGATGTCATGCTTTGTCAGTGGTTGGGAAGTGCTCATCAAGTTGCAACTTGTGACCTCTTGAAAAGCTACAGGCAAATTCTTCTGAAGGTCAGGTCTTGGGAGAAAGCCATCATCCTTATCCTTCCAGAAGGCATCTTTATGAGATATTGTACCTACCTGGACCTGCAGTCACTTCTTAGAAGCTGGCAGTCTGCTTTGATGGCTCACATGCTTAGTTATAAGATGTCAAGACTGAAAATCCAGTCTAAGACGACTGATGACTGCGTATGGGATGCATCATCACACTACTGACCAGCTAAACGTATCCCTGACTGAAGCAAGACCTGTGCAGCAGCCTGGTGTGTTTCACCAGATCACCCTTGATTTCATGCTAGCGCTCTGTTCCCCTGAGCTGAAGAGCTCTGGGCTCGAGTCTGGGAGCAGGAGATTCTGGCACGGTCCAGGAAGACCATCCACTCTCATTCCTCCACAGACCTGCCTAGAAACCAGTTGGTGGTTTGCTCCTCAGCAGAGTGTGGTAGCTTCAGGTGACAAGCAGAGCCTGCACTAGGAGGGCAAAAGGAGGCAGTCGGGAGGGACAGCACTGCAGCTGCCCCAGCTGGGCTCAGCAGAGTTTGCCAGAGCTTCTCATTTACCTAAACTCTTGGACACAAGAGTTTATTATGTGAGCAGGAGGGAGCGTGTGCACCAGGAAATGCAAGCAGGAAGGAGCAGGCTTTTGAGGCTTTTTGTCCTCACAGACATACAACTTCAGAGAGCTTACCAGCAGAACTGACATCCTCTTGCTGTCATGATTAAGTCAATCTTCTATCAGTTTCACTGATCTATGTGAAATTAAAACTTTTTTTTTTAGTTGTCCTGTATCAGGCCTCTTGAGTACCTCTTCCATTTGGTGGTGAATTAGTAAATCACATCAGTGTGCAGCTCCTCACACCACTGAGATGAGGAGCTGCTGCTCAGGCAAGGGCCTGGGCACAGCAGAATAGGGCATTTGTTTCTTATGGAAAAGGTACAGCACAGGGCTGAAAATAAGTTCTTACTTAATTTAACTAATGTCAGAAATTACTTAACTTCATCTCTTGCTTTCCTATTTTGAAGTGTTACTTGCCCTCTTTTAATATCACCTTTTGTTTGCAGGAAAAATTGTGAGAAAAATGTTTTAATCATATAGTTTATTTGCAGCACTCATGCCTTTTTGTATTTAGTGTTTTTCTCCCCTGCTCTTGGAACTCCAGAAGTTGAATAATCACAGGAATTTCATGACATCTGCTTATTTTTCATCTGTATTTTTTCCTAGACTGTGAAAGCACTAAACCACTTAAAAGAAAACTTGAAAATCATTCACAGAGGTAAGTTAATGTATTTTCTTCTTCTTGCCTACAGAGCTAATGGCAAGAATTTGAAGCAAGCTTTGCATCAAGTCACAGTGTAAATAGCACAGGCCATGTCACAATTGGGAGCATGGGGAGCAGTACAGATTCTGCATTGTGATCTCAGGGGTTGGTGGCTGATTCCTTGCCCCTCTCATCCACATTTTTTCCATACCAAGCAGGGGTTGGACTGTTGTACTGGGCTTTCAGGGTCATTGGGTGGCTCACTCCATCTCCTGTCGCTGCTGGTTGGACCTTCAGTGGTCATGAGCACAGCCAGGGGCCATGTGCAGCAGTCACTATTGGTGCTGATTCTCTGCAGCTGCCCTTTGGGAAATGGAAGCCTCCAGCTGAGACTTAACAGTTTAAATTTCCTTCCCTTACAGATATCAAACCTTCCAATATTCTTCTGGACAGAAATGGAAATATTAAACTCTGTGACTTCGGCATTAGTGGACAGCTTGTGGACTCCATTGCCAAAACACGAGATGCAGGGTGCCGGCCGTACATGGCGGTGAGTGGGGCTGAGCTGGGTGCTGGGTGCCTGTGGGCTGTGCAGCTTCCTGACCATCTTCACCAGGCCTGGCTCAGAGCGTCTGCCCGAAGTGCCGGCTTGGTTCACGGGCGATAAGCACTCCCTGCCCAGGAGAAGCAACTCTAGAGTAAGCACAGTTAGTAACAGGGGACGGTCCCCTCCCTGCCCACCGCCACCAGCCCTCTGCTGGTGCAGCACAGGGTGCTCTTGGCTGTTTGGGCTGCAGGAGCACACTGCTGGCTCGTGCAGCTACTTGTCCAGCAGGACCCCCAAGTCCTCCTCAGTGCTGTTCTCAGTGGGTTCTTCTCCCAGCCTGTACTCATATATGGGATTACCTCTACTCAAGTGCAACATCTTACACTTGGCCTTATTAAACCTCATTAAATTCTCACGTATCCACTTTTCAAGCCTGTCCGTATCCCTCTGGATGGCATCCCTTCTTTCTGTTGTATCAAGTGCGCCACTCAGCTTGGTGGGGATGCACTCAGTCCCTCTGTCTGCGTCGTTGATAAGGACGTTGAAGAGTGCTGCTGCCAGGACAGATCCCTGGGGAGCACAACTCGTAACCAGCCTCCACCTGGACATAGGGCCATTGACAACAACACTCTGGCTGCAACCATCCAACAAATTTTTTATCCATGCCGTTCAAAATTGCAGTGATTTTTGAAAAAACCACTTTATTTCCAAAGTGTGCCATAATTTAATTCCAAGAGAATGTAATTCTGGAGAGCAGTGGTAGCAGCTGCATGGAAATCGCTCACTCTGAGCCGCGGCTCCTGGGAGTCTGTCCTGCTCTGTTTGTTTCCCTCGTACTCCCAGTGATAAGCACTGTGGTTGTGACTTTCAGAGCTGTCTGAGAGTTCAAATACACAGCACATCAGGCTGCTTTGAAAAAGTATTCTTGGGTTTTACCTGAGTTTGAGGAGTGGCTTGTGTCTGAGCTGTTTGCTGCTATAAACGTAACTAATTCCAGCGGAACTGTAACTCCTTGTGCCTCTATATGCTGAAAAATACTGTGTTTTCTGAACTGTCTTATCTACAGAAGTTCAAGAGAAAGTAATCTCTCCCTTTGAAAGTATAATTCCCATCTGGTCTGGCTAACTACTCTCACATGGCTTTTGTCTGACTGTGGTGTCCCAGGAAAACCTGTTTGCCCTAATTCTGATCTGTGCAAACAGGAGCCTGAGTTTCTGAGTATTTGAGCTGGCTGGAATTGATGAAATCTGTTTTTGGAGACCACTTGGTGTGCAAGTTCCAGAACCACCTAACTTAGTGAAATGGGGAGCTTTGTTTGAAGACCTGGGTGGTCTGGAGAGAGTTAGGGGCATGTCTCCTTTTGACAAGTGTCTGCATTTTCTTGGAGGGAAGAAAACCAGTTGGAGCTGCTCAGTCTGTTGCGCTGATGGGGTTTAGGATGCTAAAGCAGAGGGCCCAGGGTGGGAAGGAGCTGGGGCAGGGTTTGTGATACCTTGCTCCCAGGCATCCTACTGCCCTGTCTAGGCAGTTCTGATTGCATCACTTGTGGAGTTAGGGATACTGTTGACTTTCCCCTATTCTCTGAGGTGTCAGTTCTGTATATAGGGGTCTTGCTCACCCCCTGTCCCTCCCTTACAAGTTCAGTGGACTATAAGTAAGAGAATTCGTATTCCTTTTGCTTTTGCTTAGAATTTTGGGTAGATAGTCAACTTTGCTCAAACTATTGGTTTAATTACTACATGACAGTTATTGGTGTGTTTGTGAATAGCTGTGCTTCTTCATTTCCCTTGGGACTTGGGTGAGTCAATAATACTTCTTGATCTCCCTCCCTTTCCATATGCACTGTGTTCTTTGTGCACTTCTATCACCAATTCCAGAGTGGGTTGGATTTTTAAATGAGAAAAATGTTTCAGTTGTGTTTATAAGAGCTTTGGCATGGTGTATGGTTTGTGGGATGAGCCAGCAGCTGGCAACTGGTGTGGGAGACTGCTGGCCTCTTCCCTTCTCTCCGACTCAGTGACTCCTCTCCAAGTCCTTGTGCATTCCCATGTACTGGAAGCCTGGGAAACGGGGAGATGTCCCCAGCAAGCAGACACAAATGCCAGCTCCTTCTCTGTGGCAGCAAAGGCTGATGCTGTAGTGATGCCAAATTTACCTGGAAGTGAGTCAGGCCCCCATCGCGCTCATTTGGAAGGGTAAATAATTGGCTTCAATGTGAAATAGGTGAAGGGTGCTAGCTAGGCTTCCATTGTGTGCCTGCGCTCAGCCAGGGTAAGTCTGATGAGGAGTGCTGGACCATGCTCCGTGATGATGAGAGCATGTTGCCTGCTCGGCCTTTGGCACTTTCAGTAGTTCTTGTAGCATGAGCACTTGCCCATCAGAGGAGCCTGATAACACTGTGTTCACTGGAGCCAGATCCCCAAATAGCCACTGATAACAGTAACGTTGGACGTCTGCCGGTTTGACTGGAAGTGGGCTGATTGGGCAGCAGGAGCCACATCCAGCTGCCAAGCAAGTGCTTTGTGTTTGAACCAAAATGGTTGGAGCTGTCGTGGAACGCAGCATGTCAGCCTTGGAGCTGCCAGTTCTGGAAAAGTTGTTTTGCTTTTGACTTTGAATTTCCATGTGGTCATTGCATTGAAAGAAGGAGTGAATATGCCTTGTGTTCTCTGAAAGAAAGAAGGGAAAGGTTGGAGACCACTGTCATCCCAGGATAGCTGGTCCTCAGGGCAGTTTTTGTGGGCAAGCACGATGCTGAGCCCTCCTGAGACCCATTGTGCTGCCAGCACTGTGGATTTGCTCTAGGTGAGGTTTTGCACTGTGATCATGCTGGGCTTGCAGGCTGGTGCCAGCCCTGATCCTGCCAGCTGCTGCTCTTCTGCTTCGTTGTTCCCCTGAGCCATGGAGAGCCAGTTCAAGGATCAGCAGTAAGAAAGCAAGCCCTCTCAAAAGGAGATGGCATTTTAATGCAGTTGGCTTTTGAGAAGGTGCAGAGCCTGAACGGTGGCACAAAAGAGGGATGTGAGCAGGGCTCTGTGGGGGAGCAGAACCTGGTTGCCCTGTCAGTGTGGAGCAGCTCTCAATCAGCTTCATTGCACTGCAATGTCAGCCCCTCCAGTCCAGCCTCCAGCTGTGTGCCTGGGGCAGCAGTGCCCAGGGTGCTGGCGGGTGGCCCTGCCTCCCTGGTGAGCCATGCCTTGTCTCCTGCCACAGCTCCTGGCCTGCAGAGGTGCCATGCTGAAGGTGACAGTCTGCAGCATTAACATCTTTCACCCATTTTAATGCCCAATGGATCCCAATTTCTGCGTCAGAGGGGAGTGATGAGACCAAGCTGGAAGCAGCTGGGCTATGGATGTGGGATCCACGCTCCGATGTCCTGCCTTGTCCCACTCCTTTGGGACCTCTCTCAGGACAGACACAACTGTCCCTGGGTCCTCCTGCCAGACCTCCTGGCTCCATCTGGAGCTGCTGCTGCAGCCAGGCACAGGCACCCTGTGTTGTTCTTCCTTGGCTGAGGTGGCATTGCTGTCTCTGTGGCCTTGGGGGCTGCATCCCCACATGCTAAGAGCTTGCACACAGCTTGGCCATGCACAGAAAAGGAGGAATTCCTGAGGCGGGCAGCAGGGCTGTCTCTGTGCAGCTCTGTGGCCTCTTTGTGGGTGCAGGAGGAGGGCTGTGGGGCTGGGATGGCATGGGCAGAAACCTGGGTTTAGCTTCACATTCCTGACCCAGCGCCCAGGTTTTCACTGGGCTTTGTCATTCATTTAACTGAACAGGCAGCCTGCTGGTTTGACTTTGTGCAGCTGAAATCCTCCATTTTCCTGATCGGTGTTGTGTGCGTTGGATTTCTTGTTTATCTTTTCGTTTCATTTTTTCCTTTTGAATCTCAAACTTGGCACTCAGCCATCATTTCATGGCTCAGAAAACAGATTTGAAGGGAAGCAGAGAGACGTGCAACACCATCCCTGTGCGCTGCACGGGTAATGCTGAGCTTTGAGCACAGCCCTCCCCTCTCGTGTGCTGCTGATGTCACCCACATGCTTCTGTGGTTTCAGCTGAGAACATGCCTCTGCTTACTCATTCATAAGCTAAAATCATCCATGAGGTTTGCCCAGCGTGGGACTTCTCCTGTCCAAACTTAGCTCCTTACGTTATGCAGGGCAGAGCTTGTGCAGAGCAGCAGCACTGCGGCACTGAGCGTGCTGCAGAGAGGTGTGGGTACTTTGCTGTGGGGAGAGGCATCAAGGGGAGAAGGAAAGGGTCACACAGCTCCCAGGTCCACAGCTGTGCTTCTCCTGTTGTCTTTGAGCTGTTTGGTTCCTGTTGCTCTTGTGTTTGAGGCCAGGGAGGCATCCTGCTGCAGGACGACATGGCAGTGTCCCATTGCTGAGAGCAGCAGTGTCCTGCATGGCTGTGGGAGCTGCTCGGCTGCACCAGACAGTTCCAGCAGTCACCCTGGCACTGAGGTTTAGGTGCAGCTGAGTGTGGCCTGTGCAGTTCTCCAGGATCAGAAATCTTCACATTGTGTTGCTTTTTTGCTGGACTCCCTTTTTTCCTGTGTATCTTGAAAGCCTGTGTTGTGGTTTCACATTAATACTGAGAAAAAATAACTGGGTTCCCTGCATTTCAGTCTTTCACAATTATTTCAAGGACTTAAGAGCATCCACACCACAATTGCAGTCATCTAGAAGTTCTGGGATGAAATTAGTTCTTAACTGTGCTGAAACAGCACCTTCCAGCCCTCTAAAATGCTGCCTCTCCAGAGCTTAACCCTGCTAACCCAGTGAAGTTTCTTGGAAGCCATGGATGACTGTGGCCTCTTGTTTCTACTTTTTTAAAGAATTAAGAAGTCCTTCCCTTGCCACGGCCTCTCTCCCCAGCAGGTACTTTCTGACTGAGGCAGTCACCTCTTAAGCTGTTCTTTGAGGGGATAAAGAGGCTGAGCAGTTTATGTCCTTGAGACAGATTGGATTGTGTTCTGTGGCTATGCTGTACTCCCTCTT